GAATGAGTAGCAGTTTCCTGAGTGCATATCTAAACTGTATAGATGTTGTTTGTAATTAGAAACAGCTACTTGAAAAGTGAAATTATTAAAATATTAAGGATATTTTTGAGGTTACATTAGTTTTTACTTCCCTTAGAAAAAAATTAATTGCTCTAATCTATTTTTTCCCTGATACGATTATAAAGAGTAAGATAGAGGACTTTGGTTTTAGAAGTTACATATCAAATAAATAGGGCGGCAGTCTGTCAGAATTGGTCAGTGACTGAGATGTTTGTAACAAATATGATTGAATTTTAGTCTAATAATAATGAAAATATAAGGAATAGGAAGATTTCCTGTTTTCATTGAGCACTTACTTCATTCCTATAGAACTGAGAAGAAAATAAATCACTCTGCCAGGTGAACATACATACATCACTTGCAAGTATGTAAAACTTACTACAAGATGAAAGATTGTCATAGAATAAATGCAAATTGCTTCCCAGTTACAGACTTATTTTAAGCCATAGGCTCTAGATTTGAATCTAGGACTCAAAAGTGTCTTCTGCACAACTTATACTGGGTACTACATAAAACAAATCATCTTCTAGAGCTATTAAATTCCTGGGCCTGGGGCCTCCCTGGTGGTAAAAAGGGCTAAATTGTAGCATTATGAAGTTATCTGCAGTCACTGCAGCATGAGTTCTATCCCTGGCCAGGAGGTGACCCACATGGCACAGGAGAACACTCCTAACCTCCCTGCTGCTGCCCTCAGCAGTGTATTTCAGTCACTCTACTTGTTCTTTTCCCCACTCTGTCTCTGGTGAATCCTCTCACCTCCTGCGCCTCTGTTCTTGTATGCATAAATAAATCAATCTTGTATAAAAAAAATTAATTCCTGGGCCCTCCCTGGTGGTGCAGCAGGTTAAAGCACTGCACTAAGAAACTAAAGCCACTTCCGCGTGAGTTAGATCCCTGCCTGCCCCGGAGGCAATCTACATGGCGTGGCAGACCTCTCCTGGCCTGCCTGCTGCTCCCTTCAGCAGTGTACTTCATCGATCTGCCTGTTCTGTTCCCCGCTCTGTCTCTGGTGAATCCTCTCACCCTTCGCATTTCTGGCCTGTACCCCAGTTCTGTATGAATAAATAAATAAATCTTTAAAAAAAATTAATTCCTGGGCCTACCCCTCAAGCCTATGTAGGTATTGTATTCAGTATAACATAATACATGACTTTGCAGAGGGGAATAATCTGTTTTGAAATTATAAAGGACTATAAAAATATTGACTAATCAGCAAAGACAGCATTTTTGCTTGCTCTTAGTTGACACTACTTAATTTTCTCACTGCAATGAATATTTAGGAATCCTTGTGAATATTGATTCTTTGGCTACTTCTGTCAATCTGAAAAAGCAATATGCAAAACAAATATTCACAACTTTCTTTTGCCTGCTTTCAGAAAAGGTGAGCATGTAATGAAAGCCATAATTAAGACTAAAACTAATCCTTCCTTACGGAAATGGAATAACAATAATCTAGTATGGGATAGCCTCTGCCTGTTGAATAGTCTCTCTGGAATTCCCTTTCAACTGTACTAATTATGCTCCTCAAATTGATGCAAATCTGACTTTGTTATACCTGACTCCAGATGTACTTAGTGAAATATGTTTTCCATAATCTAAATAATATAGAATTTAACTGTCATTTTTATTTACTTATGATACTGACTTCCTTTACTCCTTAAGATAATGAGTTGACCATTGTATAGTAGTAACAAAATAAGAAAAACAGATGAGAAGAAGGTGCAATTCTATTTGATTTTTATCAGCACTTATAAAGGGGATGATAAAGGGGCTGGAATTTACTGAATGTGAATTTATAAACAGTGTTTGTATCTTTTATCTTCCTTTGATTCTTACACAAAGAAGAACTTGGGTCTTAAAGTGCATCAGTATTGGCTTTTCCAGAAGTTCCCACTTCAGTACCAATATTAAAAAATTTAACGTATTTTAATTAAAAGAGTACTTCACTGTAAGTCCCATTTATTACAGGTCTTTTTAAGAAAATTTTTTTTCTGGTTTTTCACTTATTTTTATTGTGCTAATTTTAGGTAGAGTGTTATGATTATGACAATGATGGGTCACATGATCTCATTGGAACTTTTCAAACCACCATGACCAAACTAAAAGAAGCCTCAAGAAGCTCACCTGTAAGTTGCATCTTTGCCATTTACATATACCTTATAGGTTGGTTATGTATTATTGTATTTTTTTATTTGGTATAGCAATAGCAAACAATTTGTCATGATTTTACTCTATTATATAATGCTCTGAAATGTGTGCATTGTGTTTGTTTACTAATCAGATGATACAAAATTCTCACTTGGGATATAAGTTTACATTATATGTTTCAAGATTTGATTTCTTTTGACTTTAGGTAACATAGATGGTTTGATTCAACCCTGAACATCCTTAGCTTTAAAGCAGTTGGCTTTCATTGATCATAATAATTCATATCTATAATACTGGACAAATACTTGGCTTTGATTAAGTACATTTATCAGCCTTTGGATGGGCTTTCACAAGTTGCCTCTGACTTCTCTCAGTTGTCCTTACCCACCATAGTTATAGTGCATCAAATTGCATAATACTAAGCTGTCACCTAATGGCACTAATTTTGTGGAGATCATTTTTGTACCTTAGCCACATACTGTTTATAATTTCACATCCCAACTATTTCTAATGGTACTTCTGAATTTTTTACTTTTAGTCATTGTAGCTAGTTTTTAGTCATGTGAGGTGACCCAAAAGAAGATACTGATAATTTTGATCAAAACTTAAAAACTAAATGAATACATAACATTTATGAGCCATTTGGTTGAAATAATTGGGAGAAGAGTTTCAAATAGTGGTACTAGAATTTCCGTAGGAGGTGTAGAGAATTTCCAATCCATGACTCCGAAATGTACTGGAAGTAACCTGTATAGAAATGCTTTTGTGATGGGCCCTTCCTGGTGGCACAGTGGGTAGGAGCTCAGCACTGTGAAGCTGGCGGAGGCTCCCTCAGTGTGAGTTCGATCCCCGGCCCTGGGGGTAATCCACATGGTGCAGCAGACTTCCCTTATCTCGCCCCACTGCTTCTTCCCTCAGCAGTGTTCTGCTCCCCACACTGTCTGTCTCTGGTGAATTCTTTTACAGCCCCTGTGTTCTTTAAAAAGTAAGAAAGAAATGCTTTTGAGAAGTAGGGAAAGCTTTTCCAAGTCATACCTAGTGTTTTAAATGCTGTGATTGCATTAGCTTCGAATTAACAGTGTTTGAATTGGAAGCAACAAAATTCAGGTATGAATAATTTATTTAAAGATTTTTTTTGAAGACAGAATTATGAACATTGAACACTTACAGTAAGCTTCCTATTTATTGTTCCACTGATTTCTGTTTTTGTTGTTATTTTCTGGACTCAGAAAATGACCTGTTTATAGAAGATAATAAACTAAGAACTAATTGTAAGAACCATTACATCATGGATCATGTGATGATTCCCTAAATCTAGTTAACTTGTTACTGCCTTCTCCTGTGACAGAATGAGGCTTTTTCTTTTGCTGCAGGAAAAGATTTTCCCCCTTTTTTTTGGGGGAAGACAGAAGCATATCTTGTTATCTCTGATTTTCAGTGCCTAGAAGCATGCCTGCCACTTGACAAACACTTTAAAACTGTGAAAAAGTGTAGTTAAATAATGCAGCCTTTTTGCCAATTATCTTTAGGGCATGTCTTAAGTATAATATCCAGTGATTAGTATCTATGATGATTACTACAACTTTTGCAAAATCCTGAATCACCAGAAAATTTAACATAGTTTTGTTTTATTTCATTATATCAACTTTACTTTTAAATGTTTGATTCTTAGAAAATTAGTTGTGAATGTTTAAATGACATGTTTGAGATGTAATAGGTTTTGATAAGTATTGATCATCTTGTGTTATTATTACGAAGTCAGTGATAATTTGAATGCATAACCTGGAAGTGGTTATACATTAGCTATGAAAGAAAATAAATGAGATTGAAATAGTCGATAATGCATAATACTATCAAACTGATGTCAAAGCTATGTAAATAAAGTGTATGTAGTTGTATCCGTTTAAGGAGATGAAAGGACTGGACAGAAATGGATGTTACAGAGATGGATATCTGGAGCCAAACATTTACCAGGATAGGACCCGAAAAGGAAGATCACTATTTGGGGGAAAAGACTATGCTGAGGAGAAGATGTAAGATACTAGATGTATTTGTAACACATTCCTAATACAAAGAGATGATCTTGGCCCTCCCTGGTGGCGCAGTGGGTTAAAGCACAACACTGAGAAGCTAAAGCCACTTACGCATGAGTTCGATTCCCGCCTGCCCCGGAGGTGACCACATGGTGTGGCAGACCTCTTCTGACCCACCCGTTGCTCCCCTCAGCAGTGTACTTCACAGATCTGCCTGTTCTGCTCCCCACTCTGTCTCTGGTGAAGACTCTCACCGCCCCTGAGCCTCTGGCCTGTACCCCAGTTCTGTATACACAAATGAATAAATCTTAAAAAAAAAAAAAAGAGGTGATCTTTCCCATATATGAGCATCATATTGTTATAAAGAAGAAAAGATTATTGGGGCATTTCAAGGAAATTATCTACAGAGGAAAATGTTATACTTATCTACAGAGGAACGCTATAATTGTCTACAGAGGAAAACGTTATACTTAGAAATTACTTTAAAAGGTATACAGTTTTAGGAGTGCCTTTTGGAAATTTCACTAATATTTCACATGCTTTCTGTATTATGCAGTTATTTCAGAGTTGTATTTTGGAACTGGTCTATATCAGTAATTGGTTTAATTCTAATAAAAAAAGTTATTTACTTAAAATCATGTTGGCATTTTTAATGTTATTAGTAAGAATTCACATTTTTGTCTTCTCTTCTACAGATTGAATTTGAATGCATAAATGAAAAAAAGAGACAAAAGAAAAAAAGCTACAAGAATTCAGGTGTTATTAGTGTGAAACAGTGTGAGGTCAGTAGCTCTTTACCACTGTAGGATCAAGGATCACATGAGTTCTCTCAATAAGGTCTATATTAGAATAACATTTGAATTTTAGGCTGTTGCAAAATCATGAGGATCTGGGCAGCTTTAGGAAAAAGAAAAAGGTAGGAAAGGGTACAAGAAATCCCTGAAGTAACGTTGCTTCAAGGGTTCGACAAATTTTTCATAAAGTACAAAGAATATTAAAGATTTTCATTGTCTTAGGAAATCAGAGACATCCTATTTTTCTTGAAGTACAAATGACCTGATCCAGTGCTGCACTTGCCCCGGTTATCATTCCAGCATGAGATGTTATAGGTGGAAGGAAAAATCCAAAAGATTTTTTAGAACAATCAAGCGTCTTTGTTCCTATTTTAAAAATGTTTTGCTTTTTTATTTAAGCTCTTAACATGTTAGACACATTACTAGTTTTTGAAAATTTTATTTGACTGTATTTCATCTTTGACCATTTAATATCCTAATTTTTACCATGGATAAAGTCATTTTGAAGTAAATCTCACTAACAATAGGGACAAAAGTGTCTTAACCTCACATGGTTACCATGTGTTTAATCATGTTCTCTTCGGCTTACCAACTGTTAAAATATATACTAGCAAGTTGTTTGTTTCTCTTGTTTAATAGAAGAACTTTCATTTTAAGAGTTTGCCATTTGGTTTTAGATTACAGTGGAATGCACATTCCTTGACTATGTCATGGGAGGATGTCAGCTGAATTTCACTGTAAGTAATATACTTGAGTATTTCACAGCCGGCTATAACATTTTTTCCCTTTATTTTGCAGTATGTTTTTGCAGTGTGTTTTATTTACTACAAAACTGACCTTGTGATGACATTTACACAATCTATTTAGTATGTAAGATCTTTTTAGACAACCTGTTCAAGTTTACCATAAAGCTTTTAACTTTGTCAGGAATCTGTCTTCTGTCAGAAAGCAGATATGTGATAAGTGATTATCCTCATTATTATTAAGCAATAATGAGTATTAATCAAATAGACAAAAACCAAATCTTATGTCTAAAGCCACAGCTGCAATAATTCATGATTTAAGAAATCTAGAAAGTAGGAACAGAAACAGTTGTTTCATGCTGAGATTTTAATTGCTGAACTGTGTGTGGAAATACTGGGGGCCCAGGCAATTGCCAGGGAACAGTATTAGTAGGCTCTGGGATGGATGTTTCTGTTCATCTCCTGAAGTCTTCTGGATATTAAGGGAAAGGAGTTTTCGTCTTTTTTTTTTTTAAGATTTATTTATTTATGGATGTAGAACTGGGGTACAGGCCAGAAGTGCAGGAGCAGTGAACGGATTCACCAGAGGCAGAGTGGGGAGCAGAACAGGCAGATCCACGAAGTACATTGCTGAGGGGCACAGCCGGCGGGTTAGGAGAGGTGTGCCGGATTAGGAGAGGTGTGCCGGGTTAGGAGAGGTGTGCAGTGCCATGAGGGCCACCTCCCTGGCCAGGGATCAAAACTTGCTGCAGCAAGCTTTAACCCACTGTGTCACCAGGGAGGGCCCTCAGTATTTCTTACATTTTAAGGGCTGCGATTATTATTTGGCAGGTAGGAGTGGATTTCACTGGCTCCAATGGCGACCCAAGATCTCCTGACTCACTTCATTTCATCAGCCCCAATGGTGTTAATGAGTATTTGACTGCTATCTGGTCTGTTGGCCAGGTCATTCAAGATTACGACTCGTGAGTATGAATAAAATGCTTGGTTTTATAAATTCCCAGAAAGAGCAGCTTCTGTTTCAACTAGTAGTACTTGAATATAGTGAGTGGGAAAGAAAGTGGCCTTCTCCCTAAAATTTCTCTTTAGCCTCTCCTATTTTTCTGTCAGTGACAGTCAGTGACCTCTGACCTGTAATTGTTATCCACTCTTTTATCTATAGCTTCTTTATTTATCAGCTCACTGAATTCAGTCATCAGCTCTTTTTGTCTGATCTGGTTTCCTTTGTGTTTTTTCATTCCTTGTGTTTTTTCATTTCATTGTTTGGTTAAAATCCAGATGACACATTCTATAAACCCTTTGGATACTATTGATTAATAGATTTTTTTTCCTTTGGCAGTCTTTGTCAAATTATTTTAATAATGACTTTGAAGACATACCTAATTTGACCTAATTGCTATAAAATATTCCAAATGCATCTCAATGGGAATATTTTTGAGTAGATTTAAATAGGTCTTCTTAAATGTCTGCTAAACAGGAAAATATCGCTTGACTAATTTTTTGCTCTGGATCTGTTAGTTAACAATAAACCTTTTTATTTAACTCAATTTTTGTTTTTGGAATGAAGTTGATTTTCTGTAGCATAAACAAACTTTCCTCTAAAGGTTATAATTGTCAGAAAAGTGACAAAAACCTTGGCTTTTCAGCATACCCTAAGGGAGCCTCAGAAAACCCTTGAGAGTTCTTAGGGGTTGAGTGAATCCTGCATGTCAGATTTTATGTTTTGCCTGTTATATTATGATGAAAGCATTTCATATTGGTGGAGCATTTCATTAATCTGTTATGGCATATAAAGAGGCACAACTTTCAGGCAAATTCAAACACATTGAATCTAAGGGAAGACTCATTACAGAATTACTTATAGAACTCTTAAATTTCTTTTTTAAAGATTTATTTATTTATGCATATCAGAACTGGGGTACAGGCCAGAGATGTGGGGGTGAGAGGATTCACCAGAGACAAAGTGGGGAGCAGAACTGGAAGGTTGACTGAAATACACTGCTGAGGGGAGCAGTGGGTGGGTCAGGAGAGCTCTGCTGTGCCTTGTGGGTCACCTCCCTTGCTGGGCATTGAACTGGAGTTGCTGTGGCTGTGGCTAGCTTCATAGTGCTGTGCTTTAACCCTTTGCGCCAGCAGGGAGGACCCCACTTTAATTTTTTTAGAACTTTTTTTTATATAATACAAACTGAAAATATAGCCACAGATATGTTTAAAGATAACTAAAGAAAATTTACCTTATGGAAATAAAAAATCTCTTAAGTTCTTAAATCAAAGAAGAAATCAAAATATAATATACTATTTAGAAATAATGGGTGATGAGAATAATCTATGTAGTCCTGTCTTTATAAAGACATATTTCAAGATTTATATGCTTTTTATTTTTAAGTAAGAATTGAATATTAATGAACTAGCTTTTCAACAAAGTAAAATGGAAGAAGAAACAGGATGTAATTCATAATAAGTAATATGACTAATAGGATATTCCATATACATGGCAGCTATTTTGAGTTGCAGACAATGTAAAGTACTTTCTTCGTGCATTAATCTAATCCTCAAACTTTGCTGTGAGATAGGTACTGTTATCATCTCATTGCACATTGAGAAAGTAGGCATAGGGAATTAAATGCTGGGGAGTTGCTCAGCTGGTAACTGGAAGAGACAAGATTGAGACTGGATTTTCTGACTTCAGAGACATGTTCTCACAACTGTATTATGCTGTACTGCCTCTAAACACACACAAAAATGACATGGGAGGTTTAAAGAAAAAGCCATAAAATTAATAAAAACATGCTTCTTTATGAATTAAGCAAAACTTAGATAAATGTTTGTTAATACCGACGACTAAGAACAAGAGAAAACACACATAGTACATACGTAATGAGATAAAAACTATAATCATAAATTCAGGGGAGTCAAAAAAAACATAAAAATTACATTTAAATTGACCTGTATAGTAGCCTTATAATATTACACTGGAAAATGGGTTAAAGGATAATTTTAAATATGCTGTAAATTACTCAAGCTGATTCAGAAGCAGAGAAACTGAATAGACCAAAACTCATAGAAGAAAGGAAATATGGAATTAAATACCCCTTTTTACAAAGTCACACAACTAACTTCTTACATAAATTTCACCAAACCTAGAGGGAACAAATTCAACCCAAAGACTCAAGTGAAAAATACTTGACAGTAGTAAGAGCTCAGAGAAGTGGTAAGTCACAACATAAAAATTTAAAAAAAACAAAAACAACAAGATAAGACCTTGAAGAAGGAGAGTGAAGCAACTTTATAGGGCATTTTTTATGTGTTCATTTCCATTACTGTTGAAATTGTAAATATATATATATTGCATCAAAATTAGACAGACTACAGGCTGGAAAATGTCCCAGATCTATAAGATATAGATTCTAATTCAATGGCAAAAGAGCCATAAAGGATTAATAGAAAAAGAATATCCCTGGTAGAAAAGTTCACATATTCATTTAGTGTTTATTGTGACAGGACATTGACTCTCAGTTGTGGAGAATGTCTGTACTTTGGAATACTTAGCTGCCCTTCACCTTATATATTCAGCTCCATAATCCTTTATCCCTAAACTGCTGAAGCCAAATGTTCATCCATTTGCCTGCAGGAACATGAAATTTTTATAATATGTGGCATTTACATCATGTTTCTGTGGCCAGTTATATGAAAAGTGGCATAAAATAAAGGCTATAAATAACCTCATGTCAGTAGAGGTCAGGTTTTGCTGACACATGAGTTTTCTGAAAGCAAATGAGAAAACTCAGGTTTTTCTTTTTTTTAGGGCATTATGGGTTTATTTACATATTTACTCAGTGAAGTGATTTATAGTATTTAAGTAGAAAAGAATATGTTATAAACATGAACATGTATGTATATGTACATGTACACGAGTTTTTTTCCTCCTCAATGTGCAGAAAAATATGTAAGACTTCTAGTTGCTAGATGTTAACATTGTTTCTCTCTGGATTAGTATGTTTTATCTTTACAATCTAAGATTCTGAATATTTGAAGAAACAAGCTCATATTTACCATAAGTAAAGACAAAGATCTATTTTGAAAAAGTGATCTTTTGCTTTTGTTTCAAATTTTCTTTTTAGTGATAAGATGTTTCCAGCTTTTGGTTTTGGAGCTCAGATACCTCCTCAATGGCAGGTAACAGGAAATCTCATTTTAAATTTTGCCTCCTAGAAAAGCAAAATAGAACTCATTTTCCCCCCTTTCATTTCTAACAGGTTTCACATGAATTTCCAATGAACTTTAATCCATCTAATCCCTTCTGTAATGGTAAGTTAAATAATAAATTTTAAGCTGAAAGCCCTACAAGGCTTTTTTTTTACTTGTTTTTCTCTTGTGGTATAAAACTACTCAGATTCCCTCTCTCAAGTTTCTTTTTGTGATTTATTTAACTTTCTGTTGAATGAGGTAGCATTGTACCTGGTTGGTTAGAGAGGTGAAGCTAATTCTGATGCAAATCATTGTTATGATGACAATTACTGGAAGCTTTTCTACTTTAACAGCTTTATTGGGACAAAAGACTTATTAATTATTGGAGTAGGTCAATACAAATATCATTAACTTCATATGTAAGTTAATTTTAAGATTCTTCAACAAAATGACTAATACATCCTACAGGCCTTTAGAAACTAGTCAAACCCTTGACTACAATTAACATTACACTTAAGCCATCTACTAGTTTTGTATAGCCTCTGGTCATATATACAAAGACTTTTCCATTTTATTAGTTTCTTTTACTTTTTATCATCAGTATAGTAGAGTTCCTTTCTCATAGTTTTTATCAGTGTCTCCTTCCAAAGTACATCAGAGCTAAGCAATATAACAATCTGACTATAGACTAGTGAATACACTGACTGAGATGAAAAAAAAATGCCTTCTTTTGGGGGAGGTAAAATTAATAGGTGTTTATGAGGAAAATAGCTAAGGAGTTTTTAATGTATACCTCAGAGGAACTAATATTAGAGGGATACTTTATTTACCTTTTTGACTATTTAAAACATTAAATGTTTACATAAATTGACCATCATGGTGAATATTAACCAATTGTATTTGTGGTTGAGAGTTTTTAATACTGTTTCTTTTTTGTGTAGGAATACAAGGCATTATAGAAGCATATCGGGCTTGCCTGCCACAGATAAAACTTTATGGCCCAACTAACTTTTCTCCAATCATAAATCATGTGGCTAGGTTTGCTGCCGCAGCCACTCAACAACAGACAGCTTCCGTAAGTTCTCTAGCACCCGGGGATGGGGAGAGTGTGGACCGATAGTTGTTCCTGGTGCCATTTTCCTGTTTATTGTGTCTGTTGAGAAACAGAGTCAGGGCATGAAGCAGGGACACAGTCATCCTTATCTTGGGAGTAATATTTATTGTTAGCTAAATTGGTGATCATTTAAAACAAGACAGCAAGCAACCTTACACTCAGGAGTTTTTCCCCTGTCTTTTGAATTAATGCTGTTGGATAGATTCTACCAAAAATAAAACAAAACAAAAAACACTATCACTTACCTCTTCAAAATAGAGTAGCTTAAGGCTTGAGGAAATTGACATTTCAATTGCTGGTACACAGCAATTGAACTGCTGTGACCATTACCTAGTAGATCTTGGAAACCCGCTCCAGTACACTCAAGTATAGATGAGACAGAGATATCTACCTCATTTAGTTATTGAAAGGGTGAAATGTGGTGATTCAAATAAAGTGCACAGTGCCTGGGTTAGGGTAAATACTCAGCACATGTTAGTACTATGACAAACTGTATTCCTTTTCTAGTCTAAATGACTCAAGAGATGTAGACACAATTCTCTAACATTTTTAAAAAAAGATTTATTTATGTATGCATACAGAACTGGGGTACAGGCCAGAGGTGCACGGGCGGTGAGAGGATTCACCAAAGACAGAGTAGGGAGCAGAACAGGCAGATCGACAAAGTACACTGCTGAGGGGAGTAGTGGGCGGGTCAGGAGAGGTCTGCAACACCATGTGGGTCACCTCTAGAGCCAGGCATCAAACTCATGCTGAAATGGCTTTAGCTTCTTAGTGATGTGCTTTAACCCGCTGTGCCACCAGGGAGGGCCTTTCTAAAATTTTTACTACTCTCTAATACAAAGGTTTATTAGAAGACAACTGAGATAAAGATACCCCCCCCCCCACTCCAAACCATACCCACTTTTCAAAATGTGTATTTTATTTAGGTAAACATTTCTACTTCCATATTTTATTTTTAAAGAATGGAGTTGCCACTTACTTTCTTGATCAATATTTTGGCATATTTGATACTTAGTAAAATGAGAGTGTTTATTCCTGTGCTTACTGAAATCTTAATCTTTGACATTTCGATATCCTGCTTTCATGTGTTTCTGTCAACGCTGTTTTTTGGTCTATTACACTGTTAATGAACCTGCAGTTTTTGTATCTGTGAATTTCCTTGTAATGAGAACACTGGTATATTTTATGAAAATGGTATCCTGGGTAGAGACTGACAAGGAAAATAAGAAAGAAAAGGACTAAATTAATCATTAAGCTATAGCGGTATCATTAATCTTTGCTTTTTTTTGTTTGAGAGCTCAACTGCTTAGCTCAATCACAATTTTCTTTTTTGGCAGCAATATTTTGTGCTCTTAATCATTACTGATGGTGTGATCACAGACCTTGATGAGACCAGACAAGCTATAGTTAATGCTGCCAAGCTGCCTATGTCCATTATCATTGTTGGAGTGGGAGGTGCTGACTTCAGTGCCATGGAGTTTCTGGATGGGGATGGTGGAAGTCTCCGTTCCCCCTCAGGCGAGGTAGCCATCAGAGATATTGTCCAGTTTGTGCCTTTCAGACAATTCCAGAACGTGAGTACCACCACTCTACATTCTTTACTACGAAAGTAGGTGTTTAAACACAGACCTTTGTCAATATACAACCAAGTCGTTTAGTAGATGTCCAGCATTGGAGAAGGTGTAAAATTTCCATTTGAAAGACTGTTGATTAGATTTGGCAGTTTGCCTTCAAGGTGTATACCTAAGTGTTTCTTATCATCTAGATGATAAGTTAAAAGATGCTGCTATCAACTTATTAAAACATGTTTTATCTTTGCCTATGGAGCAACAGAAAAACTCTACACAAGTTTGTGATGGATTTACCAAACTGGAAGGATATTTGATAAAAATCTCTTATCAAATATGGTTATACCCAGTTTTCTCCAGCAGTAATAATATCTTGGAAAACTACAGTAAGAATCACAACAGAGCTTTGACACTGAAACAATCAAGGTCCATGAAGAAGAACCTCAATGTTGCTTTTTTATAGCCATAACCTTTTCCTTCCCCTTCATCTCTTCCTTAACCTCTGGTAACCACTAATATCTTCTCCAGCTCTATGATTTTGTCACTTTGAGAATGTTTGAAATTTTTTTTTATTCAGTGCAATTCTCTATTGTATGCATTCTTTTTTATTGCTAACTAATTTATAGTGGTTTGAATATACCTGTGTGTTTAATTATTTACCCCTGAAGGAAATGCATTCAGTTGTTGCCTAGTACACAGAAAGCTGCTATAAACATATAGGTACAGGTTTTTGTATTGGGTTTCTAATTTCTCTGGGATAAATACTCAGAAGTACAGTTGCCAGAGCATCTGATGGTTGCCTATCTAATTACTAAGGTAACTGGTAATTAAAACCACTGGAAAGGGGTTGTACCATTTTATATTCCCACCAGTAATGTTTGAGTGGCTGGTTGGAAGGTGTGATTAAAATATGGTACCATTGAGGTTTTGTGATGATGGAAAATTGGGCATCTTGATTGTAGTTACACAATTCCATCCTGAAACACACACATACACAGATATGAGTAATATCCATGAATTGTACTAATGTCAGTTTTTTGGTTTTGATTGACTGCAACTGTATGAGGTAATGCATTTGGAGGAAACTTGGTGAAAGGTTCATGGGACCTATTTCTGCAACTTTCTGTGAATCTATAGTTGTTTCAAAATAAAAAGTCATAGAAAAATACTAAGCGAATGGCATCCGTTTAAAGTTAAGGAACAACACAAAAAAGATCATCAGATGTCAAAATGCTGGCATCAAAAAAGGACTTGGTAACTGTTAGGGGGTAAATTAAGCTACATAACATTGGTTACTTAGGCTGTTTTATCTTTCATGAACTATTCCAAAGACAAGGCATGTGTCTAAGGATTGGGCACTACTGCTTTTTACTGCTTCGTGTGCTGTTCTTACCTTCTTATCAGAATGCCAGTAAAATTTGTTTGCTAATTATATCACATTGATTTTTTTTTCCCCTCAAGTCTCCAAAAGAAGCACTTGCTCAGTGTGTCTTGGCAGAGATTCCCCAGCAGGTGGTGGGCTACTTCAATACATACAAACTCCTTCCACCCAAGAACCCAGCTACAAAATAAAGGAGCTGTGGCTGCCTCAAGCAGAGTTCTTCTGTGTTGTGTGGAGCAATAGATTCATCTGTCAACCCAATCCATGAATCTGTCATTTAAATGTACTTTTTAATCCCCAGCATATATGATGTAAACCTGGTTCTCTAGGGTATCTATTTAAAGTATTCTTTTTATATACTTTTTTAGAGGAGAGTGCTGAATTAACCTTTGCCTAAACAATTCAGTGATATTGATGATTTATATTAATTGAAGTGAAGCTATTTACCTTAATAGCTAGTGTGAGAAAAGCCAGTTTTTTTAGTGGTTGCTTATTTTCTTATGATGAAATGGCTGTTTTTGAACATTTATCAATAGAAAGAATTTAAAATTGTTGGAATGATATAATTTACAGGATGCTTTACTTTGTTATAGGCTCTGTTTTATAAGCTGATGCATCTGTCTGGTTACAAGAGCTTCTTACTAAGTTCGATGATATTTGTTCCTATAACCATATTAAGTGCTTTCCATGGGATAAAACTAACCGGAATTTTGCTGCAGTTTAGATACTGCACTGTTTACAAAGTAGCATGCATTTGCCTAATACTTCAGGAAAAGTACTGAATTTCTTTCAGGAGGAAATGAACAGACCCAATTCTTAAAATGTACAATCAACGAGTAAAAGGAATCATATGAGAACAAGCCATTTTATTTGCCTTTTAACCTTTTGTTTTTACTGTGGAATACAATAAACATGGTTGAGTTCAATCTTTTCATTGACTATATGTGTCATTCAGGATTCTCTGCATAGATACAGGTTACCCTAGAATCAACATTATCAGATTATTTTAATTAGAGGTTGTTAAAATGATATGTCTGCTCAGAAAACAAGGAGGACCAAAATATAGAAGGAGAAGCCAGAATTCCATTTCCTTCTAACTAATGAAATAGTTTACATATTTAAAAAAAAGACAGTTTTTATACTTCCCTTGCCAAGATTCCATCCATTGATTTACATATTTGCATTGATTCATTTAAAAATTTTTCTCCTTTTCTTAGAATAATGTTTTTAGTCTGATTTCTAAACTCATGATATCTGTTATTAATCAAAATTATATTTTTATAAGCTAGTATTTCCTAAGTCCAAAATGTAATAAGCATAAAACTTGTAGTTTAAAGAAAAATCCAGTTGCTATATTAGGATAGAGTAAATTTAGACAAGCATTGAATTCTGTCCCTCTCCCCCAGGTTTTACATTTTAGAACATATTACTTAGCAAGCATTACATTTTCTGAATACATTCAATAACATGAGGAACTGTGTACCAAGTGCTGGGCACAATCAACTTTAATAATTTAGCATTAAAAATTGCATAGTTATCACGTATCGTTAAGTGGATGCACATGGTGTTTTGATGACATGAGAAGTTTTGCCATAGCCCACGTCTCTTGTGCTCTGGAATGTCTGCAGAAAGTAAGCACTGGGTTTTGGCTTCTCAGAAACAGTTCATTGCGAAGGTCTTGTTGAGAGGGAGGCTGCTTGCTTTTGTGGTTGTCTAGGTAGACAGGTAAACAGTCAGTCATACCTTTCCACTGAGCTTGCTTGTCTCTGGACATATGCTGTTAACCCCAAACTACCTACTAATCCGTTAGGTTCCTGAGCAATCCACAATGCTCATTAGTCAATCAGTCATTTTTGACACAGAGCATTCTTTAATCGCTTGGAGACTTCGCTGTCTCCTCTGTCCTAATTTCAGTTTCCCCTCATGTACTTGAAACAGTATGTATGTGTTGCCATGGTTTTCAGAATTTTCTTCCTTAAATGTGCCACATATTTAAGAGAATGATTTGCACCTATTCTCATTGTGTAGTCAGATGGGTTGAGTGGCGGTTTTCTGCTTGAAGCGGGGGCAGGTCCGGAGCCCCACATGCTGGCCTCCTCCCTGCTCCTTGCAGAGGGTCGCCATCTCCAGCACCTGAGTCACCTGCAAGGGACATGGGAAAAGCCCCGATCCTGAGCACTCCTTGTTCTTTCTCCTTGGCCAAGTATGAGTATTTCTGTCTTCACTGCTGAGTTGATTGTCCTTCATGATAATATAAACAGTTTTTTTTTTTTTACCAGAATTGTTCTCTTCGCAACATTGTTTTTATTTTTCATTCTTGGATAGTTTCATATGCTATTATTCATAAGAATTATGATTCTACTATGTCAGGATAATTGGTACCGTACTTCAGTTTTGAATAAAAGATTTATAATTTTTCTTGTACCATTTTATAATGTTCTTAGAGTTTTGATACTTCACCTCACTACATGCTGATATAATGTTTTATATGAATTTTGATCTCCATTGTACAAGTGCCATTGGTCTTAAAATGGTCTAAAAAAGAAAGAACCCAATTGACTTTCACATTATATAATCACATAAATATTGGAGTGACAGTGCTCTGGGTAGAAACATTTTCACATGTCCTTGTCCTGGAAAAATGCTGTTACAGCTAGCATGGTCACATCACTATGGTTAAAACTGAAATTTTGAGATCATAAAATTTTTAAGTCAGATCAGGGATTTGTAATTGTTCACTTTGGTGCCTTAGGCAGCCTTTCCAGAGAAAATTTGAGGCCTCATGCTATTTATGCTATATTTTGGCATAATTTGCCTTTTTCATTATGTAAATTTTATGAAAAGCCAACTTCAACAAAATCTCTCCTCGTCTTTTTGTGTGTGAGGGTCAAAACATAGAAATGACACGAAAGTTAAATCAGTTTGGTTAAGATTATAAGAGACTCTTGTACTTTTGTGGATGTCATACTTGATAATAAATGTATATGTTACTAATCTGTAAATCGATATTAAATATCTTCCATTTGAATTCCCTTCGGATAAAATTTTTTTTCATGCAATACAGTAGTGCCTTGTTTTCATTCTTTCTCTAAATGTTAATCAAAACCAATAAAAATGTATATAATATTTTAGGTTTCCTGTATTCCATATTTTCCCAAATCAAACAGTTTAGGGGACTTTATTATTTTATGATATTTATTTTAAATATATTTAATATATATAAGGTACTTCCTGGGTGCAGTAAGGAAATAACTCAGCTTATTATAGGCTGGCCTGAAAAATATGGTGGCTGCATTTAACAGTTATGCTAAGCAGTAGAATATATCCATCTAAATTAAAAAACAAAAAAGTTGGGCCCTTCCTGGTGGTGCAGCGTGTTAAAGCACTAAGAAGCTAAAGCCACTTCAGCATGAGTTTCATCCCCACCCACCCCGGAGGTGATCCACATGGCCTGGCAGATCTCTCCTGACCCACCCGCTGCACCCTCAAGCAATGTACTTCTCATTTGGCCTGTTCTGCTCTCCACTCTGTCTCTGCTGAATCCTCTCACTGCCCCTGCACCTCTGGCCTGTACCCCAGTTCTGTATGCATAAGTAAGTCTTTTAAAAAAAGTTTTATCATTTATTTGCAGTTGTTGGGCAAGACCTTGGGGACCTAGTGTAGAGCTGGGTTGAGAAAGTTTCTTCCTTTCTGGACATAATGGGTGGGGGAGAGGAAACAGTAAATGCGGAATTCCAGAGCTGTGTGTGAATAAATAATAGGGAGTCCTTGAGGGGGCAAGGAACATTAACTTGAGAATATGCCACTTAAGCTAAGACCTAAATGTTAGGTGGACTAAGGTTAAAGTCACTTATGAAGGTGTCAGGTAAACAAGTATGGGGTTGAATTTTTTTAGGAATAGAAAGAAATTAATATTTTCTGAGACAAAAAGTAAGTGTACAGGGGAATGTGCTAGAATTGCAGAGAAGTGAGGTAGAGGGCTCAGTGTGGTTTGTATGCTGGGAGCTCTTTGGGACATCAGACTTACATGATAAAGGTAACTGGATGGCACAGAATGAATGGATGCAAAGGAATGATATGATCAGATCTGTGTTTTTTAAAAAGTTGAGAGCATTACATTTCAGGGCAGAGGGCTTGTTAGAGGCCTTTATGGTTCTTTATGGAAACTTGTTGCTAAGGGATTTACCACAGGGCTTTGCCTTGGTTAGGCCCTGATAAGGGAGATAATGATGTTCACCTCATGGTGGAGATTCAGCTGTTTGGTCACATGCTTGCTAAGTGTCTGAGTCTAGGTCGTTTTCTGAATTTTGTGCTTTTCTGCCATAATCCTGCCTTTATAATAAATAATCTGTTATTAGTTCCATACCTCACCAGGTCCTTAATGATCCAGAGGCTCATACCTAGTCATGACATGTCTCTAGAACTGCCAAGCTTTTTTTAAAAAAGGGAAATATCAACATTCAAAATTCCTATATTAGTGAAATCTGCATGTTTGAATAAGAACAAGAAAGCTGGGTGTTAAAGTCCAATAACCAAAGCAAAGACTAGTAGGAACTAAGTATAAAAACAGCAGGAGGGGCCTCCCTAGAAGAGCCACTGAAAAGTTGGAAAGATTAGGGGGTTGCAGGTAAAGATGGACAATGATTTATTGGAGATGTGGTACTAGATGAAGTTAGATGGAAGATGAGTGTTTCTGGTAGATGGGATTAGAGATGGGTTTGTTATCAATGGTGAATAAAGGTCTAGGGTAGGTTCCTTTCTTTGTCTTTAAAAAAAAAGATTTATTTATGCATACAAGAACTGGGGTGTAGGGCCAGAGTTGCTGGAAGGTTGAGGATTCACTAGAAACAGAGCAGAACAGGCAGATATACTGAAATACACTGCTGAGGCAAGTAGTTGGTGAGACAGGAGAGTTCTTTTATATATGGGTCATCACCCTGGCTAGGAATTAAACTCAAGCTGCTGTGGCTTTGGATCTTGATAACACTGAGACTTAACCCCTGCTTCACCAGTGAGGTCCTTGTTTCTTTCTTTAAGGACAAGCTTAGTTTGAAACTTTCCTTAAGGAAAAGTTCAATTTGAAACTTTTCTCAGATCTGGAATATACATATGCTCCTAAAATGGCAAAATTACCCATAATTTGTCTCCATGAACTCTTAGAAAATGTAACTATATATGAAAAGGATCCTTAGGTAAATGCTAATTTTATCAAGTTAGGCCATGATCTTCACATTTGGAATACTATGGGATACTAGTCTTGGACCTCCAGCTTCTGGAGTGAGAAATAAACTTACATTGTGTATGAAAAGAAAGGAAGAAAGCAACAGTGCAGTGACTTTGGCCTTGGTCTCTGCCACACTGTGGTGTTACCCTCTACAGTGGTTCTTGTTTTGATTTTTGGAAATGGGAGCTTGGAGGAGGAAACTCCATTTGCTTTCTTTCAAGTTTCAGATTATGATTAAACAATAGAACTTGATTTTTTAAAAGCTACATGCAAGAAACTGCATTATGAGCCCAATTAATAATCCTTAGCATGCACTGTGTGCTGAATTCTGTATTACTTAGGAGTCTCAGCAGATAGTCCGCATAAATTTGTAGGAGAATTATTGTGTGCAGTGGCAGAGATAAGCAGAGATGCAAAGAGAACACAGGAAGGTCTGTGGCCTTTCAGGTATACTTCCTTTTCCTCTTCCAAGGAAGTTACTATTCTGAAATATCAGGTTGTATTGCTTAATGATGCACATTTATTTGACTTTGCACCATCACTTCTAGTCACAAAAAATATAGTAGAAAAAATACAGCCAATCATAAAAACTCATAGAGGAAAACATCAAATTTTACTACAGTGTAGAGGAAGGTACTTAAAATGTCAATTTCTAATATCTTTGGTCTGATTAGCTATAATAAATTCTAGCACAGTATATGGTTAATATCTTTTAAGATTTTTAAAGTTCCTTTTAAGAACATAAAAATAACAAAAAAATTACAGAAAAAGTACAGACTTTCTCATGTCTATGTAGCACTTATTTATCTAATACATAACTGGAATGAAACAGTATATCATATAAATTTTTAAAAAAGATTTATTTATGCATACAAGAACTGGGGTACAGGCCAGAGGTGAGGGGAGAAGTTAAGAAGATTCACCAGAGACAGAGTCGGGAGAAGAATAGGCAGATCTACTGAAACACACTACTGAGGGGAGCAGTGGTCTGCCATGCCATGTGGGGCACCTCCCTGGCCTGGGATCAACTCTGTGCTTCAGTAGCTGCAGATAGCTTCATCGTGTTGAGCTTTAACCCCTTGTGTCACCAGGGAGGGCCCCAGTGTGTTATATATTATTTTAGGATTATTTAAAACTAAAATCATCTTAAGCCAAAGATGGTCCCTAGATTATGGAGAGAGAACCAAGCTACTCCTTTCCTGTAGGTGCACTTAGATCTTTTGGCTCTTTCTAATACAGCATTTGGTATAGTCATACAAGTAAAAAGTGATTTCAAGTTCAAAGTTTTCTTTTACATAAAAATTTTGCTTACTTTTGAAATATTCTGTATATAGTTGCAGATTTAGTAAACAAAATACAGGTCATCAAGTCAAATTTGAGTTTTAGACAAAGAATGAGTAATTTTTTATAAGTACATTCCAAACATGGCATGGGACCTATCAATAAAAACATTATTCATTCATCGGGTATCCTGTATTTTTTTGGCAATGCGATTGGGTGATGGAATGCAGAAGTGGCCACAATCCTTCCCCTCTCACTACCTATCCCTTTTGCCATGTGACTTTGCAGCCCTCCCATCAAGAACTGGACTTTATTTCCCCATCTCTTGAATCTAAATTGGTCTGCAACTTAGCTACAAGAAAAGTAGAGGTTGATTCCCAGCCAGGGAGCTGACCCACATGGTGCAGCAGATCTTTCCTGTCTTGCCCCCTACTCCCCTCAGCAGTCTATTTCAGTAAATCTACCTGTTCTGCTCCCCACTCTGTCTCTGGTGAAACCTCTCACAGATCCCCATCCCCCTTCCTCCGGACTTCTGGTCTGTATCCCAGTATTTGTATGCATAAATAAATGAACCTTAAAAAACAAAACAAATAACAACAAAAAACCTCTTTTCAATCGTCTGCACCTGTCCTTAAGCAGAAGAAAATTCTATCAGCAGCCAAGTCCTAGTTAGCAAATGAGATAATGGCGATTCCGTAGTGGCTGCCTGTGTGTTCTCAAGTAACTGAAGCTAAAGGAAGAGCTGCTGCTGCTGGGTTCCTCATTTCTCTACTAGCTTCTCACTAGACACAACACTAAACAAAAGGGCGTAGGACTGAGTTGAACACACCTTCCTGTAGGACTGAGTTGAGCACACCTTCCTGTAGGACTGAGTTGAGCACACCTTCCTGTAGGACTGAGTTGAGCACACCTTCCAGTTCATAACCACTATCATTAACTGAATCTCTTGATTTATTTTTTTTTCCACATCAACTATTCATGCTGGCATTTTAATTTTTCTCTCCCCACGGTGGTCACAGTTGCTAGTGCATGTAACATAGTTTGCTAGATATGTGTATATTTTTTGGTACACATATAGTATATATTTTAAATTGTGAACCTGTAAAATCTCACTTAGTTAATCCACAAAAGAAAATGAAAAAAACTTGCTTTCTAAAATTAGAGAATATCTGAAGCTTTGTACTTGAAATCTAACCAGCAAGACTGAAACATTCATCTTTTGCTTGGAAGGTCTGAATCTTTTTGACACAGAGAAGTAGCTTGGTGCACAACTTCAGATAATGGTTTTCAGACTCAAGAGTCTATGCTTAACCAGGCAGTGGTCAAAGTTACAGGACTCTCAGTCTGCTTCTTTTACATACAGCCTTCCTTTAATTTGAGCCTATCAAAACATCACTTCCTTTAAACTCCACCTAACCTCAACCTTTCCCTAATTCCGTAGAGTAACCTATTCTTTTCCTATATTTGCTGAGACTTCCTATGTTTTCTCTGGCAAGTTTTTCCTTTGTTGCAGAAAATTAGCAACCTTGAATTTGTTGGTTTGTACATTTTCTTTAATGGATAAACCTTATAAAAGTACACATACATGGTATTATTGAAGGTAACATTTTTCTTAACTTAAAAAAACCCAGCTTGGTTTTTTTTTTTTTTTTAAAGATTTATATATTCACACATACAGAAATGAGGTACAGCAAGAGGTGCATGGGCGCATGGGCGGCGAGAGGCTTCACCAGAGGCAGAGTTGGGAGCAGAACAGGCCTACTGAAGAAGTATACTGCTGAAGGGAGCAGCGGGTGGGTCGGGAGAGGTCTGCTGTGTCATGTGGATCACCTCGGGGGCGGGGATCGAACTCACATTGAAGTTGCCACTGCCCTGCTTACCTCAACAGTGCAGTGCTCCAACCCACTGCGCCACCAGGGATATGCCCAAAACACTCAGCTTAATTTAAAGAAAGGATTTATTTATGTAGTCATGTGTAATCCAACTCATTAAATCATCTAAAAGCAGAAATTCATCTTAAAAACTCATCTACATACCTATTTTGAAATCCATTTTCCTGGTGGTAGATATCAGAGTTCCCTCCATGTTCTAACACATTTCCTCCTATGCACTCCCTCAAAGAGATCTGCTTGAGAGATTTCTGAGCTACACATGTCTGAAGCGGAACTACTGAGTTCTCAGGTATACTTCCAGAATTTTGCTAAATGTCAGAATAGGAACCCCAATTTACATACTTGCTACCACTTCGTATTACTACCTGCTTTCAAATGTTTTCCAACTTAATAAATATAAAGTGATATTCCATTTTTGTTCCAATCTGTATTTCTTTGTGTATAAGTGAAGTCAAGTATCTTTTCTATGTTGATTACCTACTTAGTTTGCTTCATGAATTGCTATTTGTAATCTATTTTAAAGAAAAAAGCTGGGCTATCTGCCTTTGTTACAAATAAAGCAAAAGTGCTAGTCTTTGTCTTCTTATAATTAAGCAGAAATAATTTATAATTAAGCCAAATTTAGAGAACAATGGAGTACTGTACTATGTGGTACTTCCTGAAGTTGCAAAAGATAATTGAGTTTGGAACTATTCTGGGTTGATGACTTTAGAGGCAGTGGGGAGTGGGGAAAGATTTGGAAGTGTAGAAATGAGGTAAGTGATAAAGAAAGTCAATGTTTGGTACTCCAGCAGATAACATGTACAAATACTGGAGTAAGAAGATTAGGTGGTAATATCAGAAAAAGCAACTACATTAGCTTCAGCAGAGTTACTTATTGTTGGGATAGTGGTGATAAAACTGGGTAATTAAAGGTTAATCAGTAGGAGACACTAGTAGTTCCCTGAGCATAAAAATAATATGGGCAAAAGTGGTTGCTATGGTTTGAATGCTTCTGTTTCCCCCAATCCACTTGTTGAAATCCTAACTCCCAAAGATGACAGTATTATTAGTAGAAGGTGATGGCCTTTGGGAGATACTCAGATCATGAAGGCATTATAATTTAAAAGTATGTTTATTTGAATAGTGTAGAAAATATGTAGAGGTGATAGCATTGGAGTTGAAAAGAAGGGGCAACTAAAAAAAAAAGAAAAAGAAAAAGGATTTGGTAAACCTCAGTAAGTGAGCAATGGAAGAATTACTGATTATTAGAGTTTAGTCTGAGGGATTGGAAAAATGAAGATTATGTTATCTTTATTATCTGAAATAGAGTAGTTTGGGAGGAGAAATATGTGATAGAGAAAGCACATACATTTCGATGGTATTATATTCTAACTTCTTTACAGAGTGTGAGGGGAGAACATAATTCAGAAGTTCAGGATTTCTTTTTTTCCCTTTCTTTTCTTCCTATTATCAGACTTCTCAAGCCCTATTTCTACCTTTTCTTTCTGGCTTCAGTAATCGTTCTTTCTCCACACAAGCTCTCATGTAACAATTACACACTATTTAAATTTTCTCTACTTTCCCTTTACTCCTGATAAACACCAACTAACCTTTTATAAATATTGCTATTTCCATGGCACTTGAACTCTAAATTAAAACAAAACCACTTTTTTTAAAAAAAAAAAAACTGATCCTACCAAATGATAGCGAGCCATTTATAGGCTTATTGGTTAACATAATTTGTTAAAGCCCTCAGCATAGTGCTGTTCCAATGACTATTTTCTGGGACTTGGAAATAGCCTTATTATACAGACTTAATGTTATACACTAATGGCATTTATTAAAATGGAATTCTATATGTATTATAGTTCCGACATCAGCCTGGCTTTTCAGTCTCCTCACAGCAGGCAACTTTGGTAATTATGCTAATGCTGGCTGATTCATGAGGACAACTTCCTAAAGTGCACTTAATTAACGCGGAGGTTTTGTAAACAGCTGTACATGTAGGTTCTGCAAATTGTAGGGATATGTCAATCTGACATGTGTACAGTCTGCCTTCTTAACCTTATCATTTTTTACTAAAGCTGTAAATGAGAAACCCAGATCTGGCATCTTCTGAAGCAAATGCTTGAGGAAGATGCTAAGAAATGTCACTTTAGCCTGTATGAAAATGGGGCTGAGCTGATTTCTCCTGCCTGGGTTTGCTGAGCCAAAAAAGTTAGGTAGATTGTTGCCTTTTACCTTGGTGTGAGGAAAATTTTTGTTTCCTTAGCAACTGATACAATTTCTCAATATGTGTGGCAGTGTGATTTTTACGATGGGTTGGCTTGTTAGTCCTGCTGCCTGCCATTGTTCTTCAGGGGACATTTTTATAACTCAGATTTTCTCAATCATAGGCTTTATAAGCTCTGCTGCTCTTCTGTTCGAGCTGCTGAGTTGATTTGATATTTGGATGACTCATGATCCTTGCTTGAATGGAAATCACCTGACTTTTGACCTATTTTGTTAAAATCTCATTTTCCATACAAATAAAAGGTAATATTCCATATACATATAACAATAAACTATGACCATGCATAAAAATAATTTATACACACATTTAATTTAACAGAAAAGTTTGGAGAATCACATCAGAGTCAAGCTATCAAAACTGAGAGAAGAGGCATCAAGAACAAATGGACTGGGGTGAAAAAGAAACCTGAGTAGGAGAACCAATTAGGAGAAACAGCAGTTGCACAAAGTTAATGATAAGGGAGAATAAGGTTGGTTTTTAATAATCTTCTTATTACCACTGCATACGATCACACTCAGATAAATCCTACAAACTAAGCTAGGGATTTGCGTATCATTTCTCAAAGGCCCTGATAAGACTTCCCCCCTCATTAATTCAAGCTACTAAGCTACGATCCTGGGTACAATCTCTTTGGGAACTAGCTAGATTACATCTAAAGACAATCAAACATTTATTTCTTAGTCTTTTCTTTGACTTCAATTGTCAGCACCTCTTCCCCCATCTCAGTCGAAGGAGCCACACTGATGATGAGTGACTGACAGCTACTTCCCCTGGGTGAGACAGCTACTTCCCCAGGCATTTCCTCTGCTGTTACAGAACTTGAACTGCATTTGTATCTTTCCACTGGGTTCTCTGCCAGCTCTTTTCCTTTTTTGTCATATTCTTTTCCTTTACCCTCTCGTCTTTCTGAGTTCTCACTTTTTTTCTGAAAGAGTCAGTGACAAAGAATTAGTACTGAAATTATAATCAAGAACATTGGAGTCTTGGTTAACAATCACTACTCTAACTGAATTAAGTTAATATGGGAATACTGTCTATGTTGCATTCGACTCTCTTCTAAGTTTTCTGATGTGCTTGAGAGTGGAGCTGAGCGTCACATTTGACTTACAGTGTTATTCTGAATTGCAGTTTTATCTCGGTCAAATTCTCTTATTTATCCTCATGCTCTGAATTATTAGACTCAGTGTCCAAGAATCTGGTTTTGATTTAAAGTATTTGCTTACTTTATGAAGTTAAAATTTAAGTATTATTTTTTCAATAAAATATATTAACCAAATACAATAAAAATACTTTAGAAATTATCATTTTCCTCTTGTAAAAAGCTCCTGGGAGAACCCTGGGGAGAACACATAATTTTTTCCTCATATAATTGTCTCCATTCATACCACAGGCACTTCAGCTACAGCTTTAGAACCTTTTGTGTTTAGTATCATTTGTAGAAATTTTATAGTTAAGAAAACAACAATACGTTCTTTCTTGGTGATGCTTAGGGCAGTTTGATAAAGGCTTGTATAAGTTATAAATGTACACAAACAAAATTGAGGAGTGCCTCACTCTCACTTGTACTTCAATATTCCTTTAATATCCCTATTTGTCTTTGAACCATATAATCTTCTAATGCTAATGTAAATGAAACATTTGGTTTATACACTAGTCTTAATTTTCACTGTGGTGCTGGGTACACATATATCCAAGAAACAAGTTTTCACCTCCCCCTTTGTGTGACTGACTTTATAATATTTGCCTTACCAATTTTTTTAAACATCCACAATTACCCATTTCTTATAGTTTTGGAGATAACATAATGAGTAGATTTGGAAAACAAAAATTCCTGCTATGTTTCTCAGCATAGACCCTCATAGGCTTATCATGAGAATCAAAGAATGATGAAATAAGAAAAACAGTAACATTTGAGTTGCTTGAAATTTCTAGGAATTGGAAGATAGCTCAGAATAGGCCTAGAAGACTGAACACCTGACTTATGTCATGGATTGTGGTTTTATCACGATTCATTGATCTGGATCTCTCTGTTTCTCATCTATGACATGAAGGTGGATGAATTCAACAAGGTTGTTTCTGCCTTTAAAATATCTGTGATGTATAATTGAAAATTTTTGTGAAAATGTTTACTGGCTTGTTGGTAACTTATGTGTCTTTATAAGTTTATGAGTATGTCCATATACATACAGTTATTTCTCATGGTAAGTTTGTTCTACAAAGCTGCCCCAAACATGAATTAGCAAACACTAAATCATTGTTCTAAGGAGTAATGCAGGGTTAGGTAGCTATAAGCCTCTGGCTTCAACATTTTTGTCAACCAATCAATACATAACCTTGTTTTATGTGTATTTCTATTTAGAGACATCTTATTTAATATATTTTATTGATTCATTATATTGAACTCATGGCAAATAGCACTATAAGTCATGTCTGAATGAAGCTTGCATAACATGTCAGTTTTCTCTGCAAGGCACATCAGAGCATTTTGTGGTGATGAAACTTAGACTGCACTCAGCACTGTGCTTGGGGGCCATTTTTAAAAGGAGGGGAAAAAATTTGCATAACCACGTGAAAACTTTGTCATGAAATAGACTGTGAAAAGGCTACTTGTTTACAGTATGAATGTTGAAACGATACCCTTTATTTGACCTCAAATGGGAATACTAGTATTAGGCAGTTTTCACTGCTTAGCACATGCTTATTATTTGCAAATGACCACAAAGTTGCATGAGTACTGATTTTGGGATCACAAATTATTTTTAGTGAGTAGTCAGATTTGCAAATACAAAATCAAAACCAATGAGGGAAACTGTATTCATAAATACATATACATTAAAACTATCTTTAATAAACCCATAAGCATTAAATGTGATACTGTATGAGAATACAGTTTAACTAATAAGAAGTGCAATATATAAAGAAGTAATTATTAGCAGTTGATAAGTTCAGATTAGCCCAGTTTTCCAGTAACAGAATTAAAATAGGAGCTTGTCTGATTTGCTTAGTCCAGTATACTCTTCACTATAATCCTCCTTTCATTCTGCTGTATTACCTGGACTGTTTGTTCTCTCTTCAATTTGAGCAGCTTTGCTAGACTTGCTGTTCCTGGACCTCCTGTGAGCGCTTTAAACATTTTGGGTGTCTCTTGTTTTAGTGGAAAGAGAAAGGCAAGTCCTTTTCTTGGAGTAGTTGCCTCTTTTGTTGTAGACTTTTTCTTTAGAAGTTCTCTATAGACAGAAGAGAAAGATTATTTTAATTAAATTAATTTTTATACTGCAAAAATCTAATGATTATTGCTGAAATTTTTTTTGACATCAAACCAAACCAAGTTAAATAAATGTTTACACTGTATCTAGAAAATACAACCAAAAGTAAAACTTGATTTAAGTGTCTTGCGCCTACACCAGTGTATTTTTCGCCTTAAATATCTCTGTACTTTTTTTTTTTTTAAGATTTATTTTATTTGTACATACAGAACTGGGGTACAGGCCAGAGCCTCAGGGGCGGTGAGAGGCTTCACCAAAGACAGAGTGGGGAGCAGAACAGGCAGATCTACGAGGTACACTGCTGAAGGGAGCAGTGGGCGGGTCAGGAGAGGTCTGCCGAGCCATGTGGTCACCTCCGGGGCAGGCAGGAATCCAACTCATATGGAAGTAGCTTTAGCTTCTTAGTTCAGTGCTTTAACCCACTGCGCCACTGAGGAGGGCCCATCTCTATACTTTTTGAGTTACACAAGTACACCCAATTATTTGAACTTCATAAGATAGCATTTAGAAAATAAAATATACTCCCTCTTCAAGAAATAAAATGCTTGTGCATGATTATCTACCAAACAAAAGAGAGAACATTAGGATAATTTGACATCAGTAAAACAGGAAAAGAGAAAGGAAGTTGGATTTCTGAACAAGTAACTTAAAAGCCAACAAAACAGGGATTCATGATGGCACCTGTGGTACATGAAGTACAAATGACAAATGTCACACAAATATACTGCTAGAAATTTACCAGTTAACACTGAAGATCTAAGAAGCTGTTCTTTGGAATAGTCAAGAAAAGCTATTTTAGATAGCAGAGTGAGAGTTCTGGAAAAACCTGTCAGAAATATACACCTTCTTCTAACCTGTGATATTGTCAATAAATAACTGCACAAACAAGTGTATGTCACAGAGAAAGTTGATACTGCATGATAATATCATTCTCTTAGATTTTACAAAGTAAAACCAACTCTTCTCTTTTATGGTTTTGAAGGATGTACCTGGCTTTCTTCATGAGAAGCTTTTCAGAATCTGGATAATGCACTAGAATTTCCTGAAGGGTATTTTTGTCCAAAGTTAAAAGATTGGCAAACCCATGGGCCACGACATCGGCAGTTCGGCGGTTTCCTCCTCTTGCTGCTAGAAGGCTGTGACAGAGAAAAATGAATCTTTGTTACCAGTTTCATTCTTCCTCCAACACAATCTTTAAAAAACTGTAGACACTATAACCATATCTACGTCTCCCTCAGAAGTCATTCCCTAGAGGTGAGAGTTCAGGTGACTATCAGAGAGTCAAAATGTGGCAGCAATGTACTGGAGATCGTTTTCCTTAAGTCAAGGACATATTGTTTCAGTGCCCTGTGATGTTCTTCATTTAAGATTCCAGAAACACAGAATTCTTTTTGGCTGGGTGTTCTCCATTTGCTTCTCCAGACCTCCCTTTCTTTCTTTCTTTAAAGATTTATTTTTGGTGCATACAAGAACTGGGGTACAGGCCAGAGATGTGGGAGAGGGGAGATGATTCACCAGAGACAGAGTGGGAAACAGAACAGGCAGATTGACTAAAATACTCTGCTGAGGGGAGCAGCAGGAAGGTTAGGAGAGGTCTGCTACACCATGTGGGTCACCTCCCTGGCCTGGGATTGAACTCATGCTGCAGTGGCTTCGGATAGCATCATTGTGCTGTGCTTTACCACCAGAGAGGGCCCAGAACTCCCTTTCATCCTTCCTCATCCTCTCTGCTCCTAAACCTCTGTAGGATTGTCCACTAACTTTTCTTTGGGGTTAGCTAATGTGAGATGCCAATAGAAAGTCAGATAAGTATAGGGAGGTAGGAACATTTAGGTTCCTGTGCTTTCCCTGTCAGAACTTAGGTTGGCAATGATTTCAGTTCTTTGCACAACCCCAGTTCTGACATCTGTTAGAAGTCCAATTGCCACAGCTCTTTCTGGGTTCTGGGAAGTTGTGCTGCCTTAGCTTGGAGTTTCCTAGCTGTGCCAGCTTTGGGATACAGAGCCACCCACTTGGTACTCTTAGGTCATCCTTCACTTTGGGCAATGATCCCGTTATTATCTTGCTTGCGTTTACCTTCTGTTTCAATATGGCCTCAGACAGACATGGTTCTGACATCAAATCTTAATGATGGCCTTTTTGCACCAGGTGAACCCAATTTCTTTCCCTATTAATTCCCAAATCATCTTGTTTCTCAAGCCATTAACTTCTCTGCAGAGTAGTTATTCATGTATAATTTACCATTAGGTATCAGTAAAATCTGGGCTTTCTACCTCTCAGAGGTATACCTGGGTGTTTTGCATTTGAGAAATGACCAGTGAATAGTTAGATACAACATGAAACAAGTGAATAAAAATTCTGTCATCCACCAATACTCTGAAAATAAGGGTTTTTAAAAATATTTATTTTTATTTATTTATGCATACTAGAACTGGGGTAGAGGCCAGAGATGTGGGAGGTGAGAGGGTTCAGCAGAGACAGAGTGTGGAGCAGAACAAGCGAATCTACTGAGATACACTGCTGAAGGGAGCAGTGAGCAGGTCAGCAGTGAGCCATGCCATGTGGGTCAGCTCCATGGCTAGGGACCGCACTTATGCTTCAGTGGCTGGCAATAACTTGATAGCACTGAAACAACCCCTGTGCCACCAGTGAGGTCCTGAAAATATGCACTGGCTTTTAAAACAAAGTAAAAATATTTCAAATGTTGGGCAAAAACAACACTACAGTCTCTGCATTGAGAAGATAACACAATAGATTGAATCTCAGAGTCAAACAGTTACAAATGGAAGTTAAAAGCTGACATTAATAAAAACACAATCTCTGGGTTGGGAAAGACAGAGAAAACATCCTGACAATAGGATCACAATTTCAGAGTCCAGCCTTTGTCTGAAGGTTTATATTATAGAATATGTCCTTCTCCAATTGTAGATGGTGAGGTATGGGAGGAGTTTGAAGTGATCTACAGTCTGTAATTAGGTTTGTCTTTTAGTGAACATTTGATTTTGGATTGCGGACTTCCACCCCAGTTTTCTGAGTTTTTTTTCCTCACCTCTTTAATGGAACAGGATGGACAGAGTACATGGGGTTGGGTATTTGCCTTCCACAGGTCAGCTAGACTCTGCTAATATCCTAGCAGGCTAGGCATTGGTCTACTTGTTTCCCCTACATAGGTGGCCTTTTTTTTTTTTTAAAGATTTATTTATTTGTGCATATAAGAACTAGGGTACAGACCAGAGGTGCAGTGGGTGAGAGGGTTTACCAGAGATAGAGTGGGGAGCAGAACAGGCAGATGTGCTGCAATACACAGCTGAGGGGAGCAGCAGGTAAGACAGCTTTAGAGTGCTGCTCTTTAACCCATTGTGCCACCAGGGAAGACCCTAAATGGTGGTGACCTTTCTCAGAACAGAATGCTCTGGTGCATTTCAAAATAGTTCCCTTGTTCTTCCTGTCAAAAGACTGTAAATTTTCTTTGATTTACTATGGGAAGCTAGTAGAATTCCTAATGGTAACTCTCCTAAAGTTGTGTGGCAGACCCCTCCTCACCACGTATGAGTCCCCTTTCAATTCTCAGGGTCAATTATAGTTCAGGTTTTCCTGCCTGGGCAATGATTCCCAATGAATTTTCTCTTCTGGTAAATAGTGATTCCCTATATTCACCTGTACTCAATCTGGGGGACAAAGGCTTACCCTCTGTCCTCCATTCTAGCATACATGCCAGGAGAGTTGTTTATGTTCATTCTGTTCAGTTTTTTACTTGTTGGTAGGACAGAGTGGCAGCTTCCAAACACCTAGCTACAGAATTTAAGAAACAATAGTGCAAAATATATTTATAAATATAATACTACAAGAATGAGAGAATGGAGAAGAAATACTTGAATAATGGCCAAGAACTTTCCAAAATTAATGACAGAAATGAAATTATAGGTCAAGGAATCTCAAAGAATACTAAGAAGAATGAACACAACCCTTCCTCCCACTATACACAGGCATAGTATATTAAATTTTAATAAACCAAAGGCAAAGCAAAAATCTTGAAAGGATCCAGAAGGGGACAAACCACCTTTCCTACAGAGGAATAAGAACAGAATTATAGTAGACTATCACTCAGAAATCAGTCAAGTCAGAAGGCAGTAAAATATAAAGTGTTGAGAGAAATGAAACCACCAATCTAGAACTTTATGGACAGTGAAATTATCCTCCTAAAGTGATATAGAAACAGATTTTCTCTTAAAAACAAAAATTGAGGGTTAGCAGACTTACTCTGCAAGAAATGTTGAAATAAGTTCTTCCAGAAAGAAGAATATTATGTATGTTTAGAAACACAGGTTTACATAAAGAATGGAAAAACATGAGAAAAAATAGATGTCAAATAAAAACTCATTTTTATTCATTGTTCTATAATAAAAGATAATTCTTAAAAATGTTTTAAGTTATGGCAATCTATTTTTAATACAGTAAACTCATAATGGGATATTCATATAAGGTTTTAGCATTTACTTTGAAAGTAATTTTGCTTTTAGGGTCCCATTTTTTTTTTTAAGATTTATTTATTTATTTGTGTACACAGAACTTGGGTACAGGCCAGAGGTGCAGGGGCAGTGAGAGGATTCACCAGAGTCAGAATGGGGAGCAGAACAGGCAAATCAACGAAGTACACTGCTGAAGGGTGCAGCAGGCTAGACAGGAGAGGTCTGAGATATCATGTGGATCACCTCCAGAGCTGGGGATAGAACTTGCACTGAAGCAGCTGCCACTAGCTTGCAGTTCTGCGTCCTAACCCGTTATGCCACCAGGGAGGGCATTGAGGTCCCATTTTAAAAGCAATTATTACTTTTCAAGGCCTGCAATATACCTTGAAAGTAGATATATTTTTTCTTTTAGAGGGGTAACCGTTTTACAATGTTGTTTGTGTTTTAGAAGTATAGGTTCTCCCCTTCTAGGTGTTATTATCAAACTGTACTCACTACCCTCCCTCCTCTGGTAACCTAAGTTCTATAACCAACATTCTAGGGTTTCATGTTAGTTTGGTGTTATCTGACTGTATGTTTGATTTTTCTATATTTTACATATTCCACATAAATGATACCATCTTGTATTGTCTTTATTCTTCTAACTTATTTCACTTAGTAAAATCCTCTCTGACTCCTTCCATGGCATCACAAATGGCAAGAGTATATCATTTTTGTCAACTGAATAGTATTCCGTTCTGTATACACAATAGCTACCTCATCCATTCATCTGTTTTAGGGCATGCAGATTGTTCATAGCTTAGTTATTGTAAATATTGCTGCAATGAACATGGGAATTCATATTTTCTTTTTAATTAGTGTCTCTCTCTTCTCTGGATAAATACCTAGGAATAGAATTGCTTGGTTGTATAGAAGATCCATTTTTAATGTAAGAGATTATTTTATTTTTATAAGTTAAAAAAATATTTATTTATTTATGCATGGAAGAACTGTGGTACAGGTCAGAGGTGCAGGGGGTGAGAAGATTCATTCATCATAGACAGAGTGAGGAGCAGAACAGGTAGATTGACAGAAATACACTGCTGAGGGAAGCAGAGCAGCAGGTGAGTCAGGAGAGTTCTGCTGTACCATGTGGGTCACCTCCAGGGCTGCGGATCGAACTCGTGCTACAGTGGTTGCAGATAGCTTCATGTGCTGCACTTTAACCCCTTATGCTACCAGAGAGGGTCCTAAAAGATTATTTTAAATAATAATGTAACAGTATATTGGGTGACCTAACATATGAATAAGTGAAATGAGTAACAATGATGTCTTAAGTGCAGGTAGGAAAAACTGGGAGTACTGTTAGGAAGTTCCTACAGCACAGTGATGTGGAATGTTTTGCGAAGGAGTCTAGACTTAGATAAATTTAAAATTTTCAGGCAATCATTAACATTTAAAAAAATTTTAAAATACAGTTAATATGCTAAGAAAGAAATGAAATCATACAAGAGAAGATGTTTTATTAAAACCAGAGAAAGCAGAAAAGGAACAGGGGAATCCCAATCTAAGACTATCTCAAAGCACCAAATGGAGTTTCTTACATGCCTTTACATTAAATTTGGATCCAGGTCTCTCCAGGCCACTTAAGAATGGCATTACTCTTCCAAAACAGAAAGTATATACTT